GGGGGGGGGGGGACATCCTCCGGATGGAGACGCTTCTCTCCGATCGACTTTCCTCTGGAACCCGTGCAGTGATCGCGAGCGTCATGGTTTCCGTGCGTTTCGAAGAACCGTGGATGTCGATCGACGAGAGAACGTCTGGGTATCGCGGCATCGAAGGCGAATCGGGAGGCATCCGGGCGAAAGGAGGGGAGGGAGGCACGGAGGAGGTTTCCGGCGAGCGAGCGGGAAGCGGATGCCGTGTTCCGGGCATCCATACACGAGGAAGACCTCCTCCCGTCGACGCGCCGAATTCCGCGGTTCTTCGCCGAATTCCGCGGTCGGCCGCGCCGACGAGAGTCCGGTCGGGTGGAGGCGGGCGGCGAACATCCCGACGCTGCGAAAAGAGACGACGATTTCTTCCCGCGACATTGCCATCGGCTTCGTGCCAAAATAAATGACGCAGCGAAAGGGTGAAATGCGTAAAAGCCTCTACCGCGTGAAGGGCATGGACCTCTCGAAGCCCCGAAAAATGAAACTCGCACGGGATCCATGGAACCTGGGAGCCCGAAGTGCTTCCCCGTCCCGAAAGTGCTTCCCCGTTCACTTGCATCCTCCGCATTCGCTTTCCCTCTATCGGGCACGTTCTGCACGCGTCCCGTCCTTGGTTCTCGAGGGCGGGTCCTTGGTTCTCGAGGGCGGTGCAGCCGATGACCGAGGCGGAGGGCCGAACGGGGGAAAATTCATTTTATCCTGCGTTGTTTTCATCTGGGGAATGTCATTCTTAATATCAGAGTTTTTTTTTTTAGCACGGGGTGTCTATGGACGCTCTCTAGTTCTCCATTAAATGGACAAAAAAATTAATAAATTCAAAATTCACCTCCTACGATTCCCCATTTCGAAAAGGGGAATCCTCACAAGTGCTTCGGCACGATCGAGAGATCCGAAATGGGGCGTGAAAGCCGAGAGGAAAACAAAGCCAGCATGGATACAACGGAAAATATGAATATATTTCCATTCTCAGGATCTCCCGAAGGGGCCTCGGACATCACAACATGTGAAAATTAAATATCGATGAAAATAAAATGAAAAACCCATGAAAATCTTCAATATTCACTTAATACATTCAATCGCACTAATTTACAAAAGAATCCAAACAAAGTGACACACTCGAGACACGCTCAGACACAACAGAGCAGCGTTCCCGAGTCCCAAACGGGCTGTGGCACGGTTGTGGCACGGATGTGGCACGGTTGTGGCACGGATGTGGCACGGTTGTGGCACGGGTCAGCAAACCAAACGGCACGAGATCACCGAGAGGTTCACGTCCCCGGTCGTCATACGTTGAACACTTGGACGCCAAGTTGTTTCCTCTGGAAGTGAAGGCACGACTGTCGCCGCCAAATCGCCGCCGAGTCCTCACCCCAAATTGGATGCACCACGTCCGCTGCAAGAACCTCCTCTCCCTCTCCCTCTCAGCCTCTCTCTCCCTCTCTGCGTCTCTTGTTTCCTGGTCCGGATGGGGGGTCCGGCCTTGGGGGCTGGCCTTGGGGTCCCGATTCAGCCATCCTCAAGGTCTTGGTAGGTGTTGATCACTGGGACCTCACCGGTCCGAGGGGAAGTTGAACATCCAAGCATCTTCATCATCATCATCACCACCATCATCCCTATAATCATGATTTTAAAAATCTAATAGAAGCTAAAAGCTCGGTGGGCCCCGCGCCATGCAGTGGACCGTCACAGAGCAACCCGCCCACCGCGGTGAGACCCGCCCGTCACCAAGGCTGGCAGACTGCAACACCCTGGCGGAGCTGATGACGTAGACGTGGGAAGGTGTCCCACGACTAAGGTGCGACACGGGGTCGCACCAGGGTCCCTCCCATCTAACGTTTTAGTCGTTACGAATATTTATCTTTAACGACAGAGATAGGCATTTAATGAGAAGCAACCTGTCTTTAAGTAGGTTAGTAATTGGGGCAAATTAATTTTTAGGTCCACTTTTACAAAAAATAAGTCTAACCAGTTTACGTTTATCGTTATGCATTAACGTATTGAATTAATAAATCAATTTAATTTAATAAACTTTAGATTTACATTATGAATTAAGGCCCCAAAAAGAAAGGAGGGTTATGGGAGAAATAAAGGAATTTACAGGAGAAAAGAGAGAACTGGGATTGGAGGGTGAGAATCAGAAGAAAAAAAACGAAACAAGACAGTTATAATGAGAGAACGCAAAAAAGGAAAGCAACCTAGCAATGGTAATGGCAAAGATAAAAAAGTAATAAAAAAAGGGGGCAGCAAAAAAAAATGTTGACCTGGAAGGCAACTATGTATTAGTATCAAGAATGGCAAAGGGGAAACAAAATGCAGAAAAGAATGCAATAGAAGAAAATGAAAGGGATGAAGACACAACATAAACACATACTAAAAAAAAAAGGCAACACTAAGAATATTAAATTAAACACAAAAGTTTCTGCCTCTGTACCCAGTCACTCAAAAAAATGCAAGAATGGGACTTTGAAATGGATTAATTAAAAAACCTTGTTACTGGAGATGGGGGCAGTCCGGCAAAGATGGGTGGTCCTCTTGAAGGACCCCTTGGAGGTCCCCTTGGAGGTCCTCCTGGAGGTCCTCTTGGAGGTCCTCTTGGAGGTCCTTGGGTCCTCTTGAAGGCGGCGAGATCTCTCGAACTGAGAAAAGAAATAAAAATAATAATGAGTAGAAAATGACAATTACTGAGGGGAAGAAAGCGAGGACATTGGGGGATTCTGCTGACCGTGGTGAATGCTTCAGGAAACGGGGAGTTCCTATGGATGAATCGCCCTTCTAAATGGACGAAAGAAGACATGAATGCATTAGTTCAAAATGTCAAAGGTCAATAATTAAAGGGACAAAACTGCAAGGAAAGAAGGAAATTAGAATAAATGGAAGACGACACTTTCAAATTCAAATGTAGAACATACAAGCATAGAAAAAAATGGGAGGGTCACAAATACAACAAGAACACATACATAAAAAAGGAAATTTAGCACAAAACATATTAAACTAAAGTGCGGAATCAGCCTATGCTCCCAGTCGATTAAAATTGTAATAACACATTAACACAAACATCGCATAATGACCTCAAAAAAAGGCAAGAATAGGAATTTGAATAGGTTGTGGCACGGTTGTGGCACGAGTCAGCAAACCCCAGACCGATCGGCACGAAATCGCCGAGAGGTTCACTTCTCTCACGTCCCCGGTCGTCATACGTTGAACACATGGACGCCAAGTTGTTTCCTCTGGAAGTGAAGGCAGGAATGTCGCCGCCAAATCGCCGCCAAGTCCTCACCCCAAATTGGATGCACCACGTCCGCTGCAAGAACCTCCTCTCTCTCCCTCTCTCTCGCTCCCTCTCTGCGTCTCGTTTCCTGGTCCTGATGGGGGGGGCCGGCCTTGGGGTCCCGATTCAGCCATTCTCAAGGACTTAGTAAGTGTTGATCACTGGGACCTCACCGGTCCGATGTGAAGTCGAAGATCCAAGCATCACCGCCACCACCATCATCCTTATAATCATTATTTTAAAAATCTATTAGAAGCTAAAAGCTCGGTGGGCCCCGCGCCATGCAGTGGACCGTCACAGAGCAACCCGCCCACCGCGGTGAGACCCGCCCGTCACCAAGGCTGGCAGACTGCAACACCCTGGCGGAGCTGATGACGTAGACGTGGGAAGGTGTCCCACGACTAAGGTGCGACACGGGGTCGCACCAGGGTCCCTCCCATCTAACGTTTTAGCCATTAAGAATATTTATCTTTAACGACAGAGATAGACATTTAATAAGAAGCAACCTGTCTTTAAGTAGGTTAGTAATTGGGGCAAATTAATTTTTAGGTCCACTTTTACAAAAAAATAAGTCTAACCAGTTTACGTTTATCGTTACGCATTAACGTATTTAAATAATAAATCAATTTAATTTAATAAACTTTAGATTTACATTATGAGAGAAGTGAATTAAGGCCCCAAAAAGGAAGGAGGGTTATGGGAGAAATAAAGGAATTTACAGGAGAAAAGAGAGAACTGGGATTGGATGTTGAGAATCAGAAGAAAAAAGAAACAAGACAGTTATAATGAGAGAACGCAAAAAGGGAAAGCAACCTAGCAATGGTAATGGCAAAGATAAAAAAATAATATAAAAAGGGGGGCAGCAAAAAACCAAAAAATGTTGACCTGGAAGGCAACTGTACATATTAGTATCAAGAATGGCAAAGGGGAAACAAAATGCAGAAAAGAATGCGATAAAAGAAAATGAAAAGGACGAAGACGCAACATAAAAATACTAAAAAACAAATGCAAAATTAATACGAAGAATATTAAATTAAACACCAGTTTCTGCCTCTGTACCCAGTCACTCAAAAAAGCACAACACTCAAAAAAAGGCAAGAAAGGGAATTTAAAATTAATTAATTAAAAAACCTTGTTACTGGAGAAGGGGGCAGTCCGGCGAAGAAGGGTGGTCCTCCTGAAGGTCCTCTTGAAGGTCCTCTTGAAGGTCCTCTTGAAGGTCCTCTTGGGGGTCCTCTTGAAGGCGGCGAGATCTCTCGAACTGAGAAAGGAAATAAAAAATAATGAGGGGAAAATGACAATTACTATGAGGGGAAGAAAGCGAGGTCATTGGGGGAATCTGCTGACCGTGGTGAGTGCTTCAGGAAACGGGGAGTTCCTATGGATGAATCGCCCTTCTAAATGGGATGAAAGAAGACATGAAAGCATTAGTTCAAAATGTCAAGGGTGAAAATAATTAAAGTGAAAGCACTGTATGGAAAGAAGTAAATTAGCATGGCTAGGGGTAACAAACATTGCATGAACATGAAATCACAAACTCAAAAAAAAGAATAGAAATTCAAATGAACAACATACAAGCATAGAAAAAAATGGGAGGGTCACAAAACAACATGAACAACAAATCCATAAAAAAAAAGGAAAATAGCACAAAACATATTAAACTAAACTCCGATTTCAGCCACAATTCCCATTAACTTAACATTTTAAGAACACATTAACACAAACATCGCATAATGAACTCAAAAATATGCAAGAATGGGACATTGAAATGAATTAATTAAAAAAACTTCTTCCTGGCGATGGGGGCTGTCCGGCGAAGATGGGCGGTCCTCTTGAAGGTCCTCTTGAGCTCGACGACATCTCTCGAACTAAGAAAAGAAATGAAAATAAGAATTAGGGAAGAAATGAAGATTTTGGCAAAGAGAAGAAATCGAGGACGTTGAAGGATGCTGCTGCACCTGGAGTTTGCTTGATGAATCTTGAAGATCCTAGGGACGAGATCTCCCTTCTAAATGGATGAAAGAAGACATGAGAGCATTAGTTCAAAAAGTCAAGGGTTAAATTTTAACGGGAAAACACTGCAAGGAAAGAAGGAAATTAAACTGGCTAGGGGAAAAAAGAGATATTTAGGACATGAAAGTCAGAAACAGGTTGAAAAAAACAAAAGCAACATTAACACAAAGCATATTAAACCAGTTTCTGCCTCTGTACCCAGTACCTCAAAATTTAAGTAACACGGTAAAACAAACATTAAACAAACAGGTAATGACGAACTCAAAATAAAGGAAATAATAGAAATTTAAAATGGATTAATTAAAAAACCTCGCTGCTGGAGAATGGAGGAGTCCGGCGAAGATGGGTGGTCCTCTTGAAGGTCCTCTTGATGGCGGTGAGATCTCTCGAACTAAGAAGTGAAGAAGAAAATATGAGGATGAAATAATGGCATGGAGAATTGGAAGAGAGAGAGGTCATTGAAAGATGATACTGAACCTGGGGGAATGCTTGATGAATCTTGTAGATCCTATGGACGAAATCGCCCTTCTAAATGGATGAAAGAAGACATGAAAGCATTAGTTCAAAATGTCAAGGGTTAAAGCAATTAAAGGGAATGCACTGTAGGGATAGAACTAAATTAACATGGCTAGGGCAAACAACACTGAATTAACATGTAATCATGAACTCAAAAAAAAGAAATAATAGAAATTGTAAATGGATTAATTAAAAAACCTCGCTGCTGGAGAATGGAGGAGTCCGGCGAAGATGGGTGGTCCTCTGGAAGGTCCTCTTGATGGCGGCGAGATCTCTCGAACTAAGAAGTGAAGAAGAAAATATGA